AATCCTAGGCTGGTTGGTCCAACCACAGAGGTGAAAAGAACAGAGAACTAATTGTGGTGCCCAGTGCCTCGGGGGGCCTGTCTCAACTAAGTGCTGTTGTTCAGTCGTGACCGACTCTTCATGACCCCCTGGACCAGAGCCCGCCAGGCACTCATGTCTTCCACTGCCTCCCGCAGTTTGGTCAAACTCATGCTGGTAGCTTGGAGAACACTGTCCCACCATCTCGTCCTCTGCCGTCCCCTTCTCCTTGTGCCCTCCATCTTCCCACCATCAGGGTCTTTTCCAGGGCGTCTTCTCTTCTCATGAGGTGGCCAAAGTATTGGAGCCTCAGCTTCAGGATGTGTCCTTCCAGTGAGCACTCAGGGCTGATTTCCTTCAGAATGGAGAGGTCTGATCTTCTTGCAGTCCATGGGACTCTCAAGAGTCTCCTCCAGCACCAGAATTCAAAAGCATCAATTCTTCGGCGATCAGCCTTTATTGGCACATGTTTTTGTGTATTTACTCCTTTCCACATACATTCCTATTCCACTGTGTATGTCATGATTTGTTTCCCCACCTGAGATCTTGAAAGGGTAGTGTATAAATTGAATGAATGACTAAATAAAATTTCTATTCCTTTCTACATTTATATTACATTTCTATTCTTCCTTACCCCACGGCTGTCTGAGGCAGTGAACACCTCTTAAGAATACCACTTCCTGGGAGTTTCAAGCGGGGAGAGTTGATGCTGCTGTTCTGCTCAGCTCCTTCTGCTAACAGGTGTCTTCCAATTTGGGGCACCTGAACAGCCCTTGTGAAAATAGACTATGCTGGACTTGAGGGGGGTGGGGAGTCTGCCTTTGGCCTGATCCAGGTTTAGGGCTCTCCGTATATGTGCTTATGTGCCTCCTTCGGACCACATCCAGGGACCTCGGAGGGAAATGGGGATTCTGAGTGTGCTTGTTAGCAACCGGGGCATCAGGACGAGGTGGGAATGCCAGGTTATGGCACTGGAATAACAACAACAACAACAACAACAAATTATTATTTGTACCCCGTCTGCCCATCTGGCTGGGTCTCCCCAGCCACTCTGGGAGGCTTCCAACAAAGATTAAAAATACATTTAAAATGTCACACATTAAAAACTTCCCTGAACAGGGCTGCCTTCAGATGTCTTCTAAATGTCAGTTGTTTATCTCTTAAACACAGAATGGCAATATCATGCTCAACCTTTGATCATGCGGATCGTGCTATAGCAGGCTTCCTCAGCCTTGGCCCTCCAGATGTTTTGGGACTACAACTCCCATGATCCCTAGCTAGCAGGACCAGGCTAAGGCTGGCTGTTCATCATTTCTTAAAATGAGGCTGCATTTTAAATTACATTTTAACCTGTATTTTAAATTGTTTTTTTCTTTTTGTTTTTTTCTTATTATCTTTTTACTGAAATTTTATTGGTGTTAGCCGCCCTGAGCCCAGCTCTGGCCAGGGAGGGCGGGGTATAAATAAAATTTATTCTTATTCTTATTACTACTATTAATATTATTAACTCCCCAAGGGTTTGACTTCACCTGCGAAGGTGCCCTCCTCCGTTGTCTCCCGAGACAGACGCTAACCACAAGGTTTTGATAATAGCAAGAAACTGGAAATCAGGTCTGGGAAATTTTAAAAAGGGGTCCTCTTGAATTAACATTCCTGCACTTTGGAGTGATTGAGTCCCCCCAGCCTTGGCTGAAAACCAGGACAGGTGGCAGTTTTGTTTTTCGGCCATGGCAAGCCAGAATAAAAAGCAGGACAATGTTTTCGTAGAGGTGCCAGAAGAGACTGGGAGGGAGGCAACGGTTCCCCTTTAGCAGGAGAGAACAACTCCCTCACATACCCCAGTTTCCCACTGAGTCCCCTTGAGTTTCCAAACTGAATTCCCACTCAACTCCCCTGGCATCCAGAGAGATGGATGAGGTGGAAGATGAGGAGGCAGAGACCTTAAATGGGAAAACAGTGCAGCTGCTGTGCCACATTTTTAATGCCCCCCCCCATGTGAAGGAGAAGAAAATAGTGTCCTGGCAACAGATTGGCGTGCAATATTTCTCCCTGATGTGCTAGATTTCTCACTGCAGGGAGTGCAAATGTAATTTTCATCTACTTGCAGACCCTGCCTGAGGCTAGGAAGGAGGACTCTTATTGGGTAAACAGACGAAGGGGTATGTGGCTGCAAAGGGGGGCTCTGGACAGGAGACTCTCTTAAGCTACTATCTTGGCAAGGGGAGAAACTTCTCGTCCTTCCCCTCCCCCCTCCCCTCCACTGGTCACAGTCCCTGACAACAGAAGCAGGACCTCTAGGCGCAGAGTGTGTGTCCCCCACCCCCTCCTTCCTTCAGGCCCCGCTGGCAGCCGAGGGGATGCTTCACCATGCGTCAAGCACAGCTCAGCATTCAGGGAAATGAAAGAGGGAAGCGGGCCACGATCCAGGAGGCTGAGGTCAACTCTGAGCGTAGCAAAACCTCCTCACAGAGGAGCCATTTCTGCTTCCCACAGGGAAGGACCCCCCACCCCAACCCAAGCAGAAAGGATTAGCACAAAGGATTGCAGGTGCAGAACATCTGCTTGGCATTCAGAAGGTCCCAGGTTCATTCCCTGATGGCAATTCCAGGTGGAGGAACCCCTGATCCTGAAAGAGCTACATTGGCTCCCAGTACATTTCCAGGCACAATTCAGAGTGTTGGTGCTGACCTTGAAAGACCTAAACAGCCTTGTCTCTGAAGACCTGAAGGAGCGTCTCCACCCCCATCGTTCTGCCTGGACACGGAGGTCCACCTCCGAGGCCCTTCTGGCAGTTCCCTCCCTGTGAGAAGTGAGGTTACAGGGAACCATGCAGAGGGCCTTCTCGGTGGTGGCGCCCGCTCTGTGGAACACTGTCCCAGAAGATGTCAAGGAAATAAACAAGTATCTGACATTTAGAAGACATCTGAATGTAGCCCTGTTTAGGGAAATTTTTAATATTTGATGTTTTATTGTGTTTTTAATATTATGTTGGGAGCTGCCCAGAGTGGCTGGGGAAACTCAGCCAGATGGGCGGGCTATAAATAATATATTATTATTATTATTATTATTATTATTATTATTATTATTATTAACCCTGGAGAGTCACTGCCAGTCAGTGCAGACAGCACTGAGTTGGTTGGACCAATATTTTGATTCGGTATAGCTTCCTGACTAGCTTGGTTTTTTCAAAGTGACACATCCACCCCACGTATCTGGGAGAGAACATCAACAACAACAACATCTAGTGTTTTCCCTCTTCTCACTATTTTGCCCCTATTTTTTGTGTGCCTCATTAAAAAAAAGAATTAATGTTAGTTGAAAAACAGTTGTTCAGCTCTTCCTCCCAACCTGTAAGTCTCCAGATGTTAAATGACACCCGAGAGTGGAGTTTTTGAGAAGTGTCTTTTCTGGTGCCAAGGCTTGTTCGGGGACATTACGGTGGCCAACAGACAAGGCCCAGCCTGCTGTGCAATCTTATGCCTTCCAGCTGCCGAGATTTGACCAGCACTCCATCCTCTCCCTATTTTGCCACTATTTTTTTATGTGTTGGGCATGTTAGACCCTTCTAATAGCTGGATCCAGGAAGTGATAAACTGTAAGCCAGGCTAGCTTCTGAATGAGACGATCACCTGGGTGATGGGCCATTGAGGGAACAAAGGAAAGGGGCTCTCTGTGAGATGGAAAGTGGTACCCTCCCCGCTCCCTCAACTTGCAGTTAGTGAGAAGGACAAAAGCCAGAGTTTAGAGCTGAGTTGCAGTGATGTGAGCCAGAGGGGAAAGCAGCGAGCTTGAGATAAAGATCAAGGTTTGATTTCTGTTTGAATCCAAGGCTGCAGCTATGGGAGAAACAAAACCCTTTTTTGTTAATGCTGTGAACTCCTCCATCGCGGGCTCAGGTTGTATATATGTGTGTGCGTGTGCGTGTGTGTGTGTGTGTGTGTATGTATGTGTGTAAATAAACCATATATCATAAAGACGCTACAGTCTCCCCTGTGCCTCATTCCCAAAAGGAATCACAAACTCAGGGTAAGTGTATGGAACCCCCGGAATCTTGCATCACTCAGAGACTGAGGGGTGGGGCATGAAATATGGGAAATACTTCTTTTTAAAAATATACTGCAAGTTGAAAGAGTTGTCCATCCTCCTTCAAGATTCAGAACCCCTCCCTGCCAAATCTTGGCCTTTCACCTAAGATCAAATATTTGGGTTTTGTTTAAGAGCTCCCAGCGGCGTTTGCGAGAGGCGTCCTTTTCGGAGCCAAGGCTTGAGCACAAACATTCAAGCAGCAAAGTTGCAAAGTTAGCAGAATGCAGGGGAATTGTCGTCTTATTGCAGGTTACCTTTCACCAAAAGAACAAACATTCTTCTAGATCTCAAATGGACGAGAACCAAATTGGTGAGAGTTAACGAATGCAGCGAGACAATGGAGACCCTGTTAATGGGGGGCACCAGAGCAATAATTTGGGGCAGACGGCCAGGGTCCCAACTCAGCAGAAAGAGTGGGGCGGTGGGCTGGTTGGCCTAATCTAGGCAATAATAATTGAAACAATAATTTCATTATTCACATGCTGCCCATTAGCCTGGTTGCCCTAGCAAGGCTGTCTTGAAGCCTTTTCTTGCCCCACTCCTGCTGCCCCACCCCACCCGTTGCCCAAAGAAAGGCTCTTTCTACCCTCCAGCTGCCTGGGATACAGTCCGAGGGGAAAACCAAGTGTTGGTTTTTGCAAATGCTTAACCTCCCCTCCCTAGCAACTGATGACCAGCCAACTTCGGAGCCTGTCATTGGCTCAGATCAAAGCTCAGCTCCAGGAAAGTCCCCAGCCCTGCTGCTACCCAATTCAGAGGAGAACACAGCAAGGGGGGGGGGAGGGGAGGGTAGAAAAGCCGGGCCAGGTCACCAGAAGCAATAGAACTGTTTTGCCGCCAGTCCAAGAACCACTACGCCCTGCACATTTACTGATCAGCAAAACAAGAAAAATTGCCTTCCAGTAGCACCTTAGAGACCAACTAAGTTAGTTATTGGGATGAGCTTTTGTGTGCATGAAGTTTGCATGCACACGAAAGTTCATACCCATAACAAACTTAGTTGGTCTCTAAGGTGCTACTGGAAGGAATTGTTTTATTTTGTTTCAACTACGGCAGACCAACACAGCTACCTACCTGTAACAAGAGCAGATTAATTTGCCATGTTGCCATTTTCCTTATTCTCGTGTCATATTTTAATTTTTAAAATTTTATTTGTGCATTTTCTATCTTGCATATACAAGCGAAATAAAAACATAAACATACAATCCCCTTTGACTCCCCCCCCTTGTGGATCTTAATATAATGATTTTCCCCTCTGCAGCGCTTTCATAACTCTATTCTTATAAATCCTTTTTCATTTCATAGTTCGTTTTTTTGCTACAAGTTTTCTGTCAATCCTACCAATGTGTGTAATTGTTTGCAATAGTTTTTTTTTTTCCTTCCAAATAGATTATAAACTTTCCCCAGTCTTTATTACAGACCGCCTTTTCCTGGTTTCTAATTCTTCATGTAAGTTTTGCCATTTTGGCATAGTCCATCAGTTTTATCTGCCACTCTTCGCTGGCTGGAGTTGTACCATCTTTCCATTTCTGGGCTGACAGAATCTGTGCAGCCATGGTCGCATACATGAATAGCTTCTTCTGGTCCTTCGGGATCTCTGGGCCTATAATGCCTAAAAGAAATGCTTCTGGTTTCTGAGGAAAATTTATTTTCAATATTTTTTCAATTTATTATCTATCATTTCCCAGAAGTCTTTTATCACCTTACATGACCATCACATGTGATAAAAAGTACCCACTTTCTATTTACATTCCCAGTTTTTGACTTTGATTTGTACATTTTAGCTAATTTACTAGGAGTGAAAAGCAATGATACATCATTTTCATATAGTTCTCCTTCAAAGTGTAACAAGCTGTACATTTTAATCCTGTTGTCCGTAGTCTCTCCCATGTTGCAATTCAATATTATAACCAGAATCCTTCGCCCATAACCAATTTGACCTGTTCATCTTTCGTTTGCCAATCTAATGAAAGTTTATACATTTTAGAAATTAACTTATGTCACATTTTTATAACTGAATTGGGTTCAATGCCAGGCTGTATCCTGAACGCATGATCAGCCTGCCCCTGCTACCTTTCAAAGAAAGAAAGAAAGAAAGAAAGAAAGAGAAAAGTCTCCGCAGCCTGAAAGCCTTGTGTGACTCTATTTACAGCGAAGTAAATTCACTTTGTGCATGCTCAGGGACACTACTCAGTTGCAGGCAATGTGGACAGGGAGACCAGGTTAAGGTACTGGAATTAAGAACAAATCAACAAAAATTGGATTCCGCTCAGTGACTGTTTTTATTGTGCTATATCTATCGTTAGGCTGTTCAGCAACAGATAATGCACAAATCTAGCAGGGGGGCAGGGAGGGGGGAGAGGAAAACAGCAGAGTTGTGTGTGTGTTTTAATTGATGTCAGCTAGACCTCCTTTGGCTGAAAGTGGAAGTTCTCTGAGCAAACAAACAAGCTCCTTTTTCCTCTTCACAGAATTAGCGCTGGGCTCCCTCCCAGCCGCCACCAGCCATTTCCAGGAGCAGCACTGCTTTTCTGAGAACAGCAACCTTCCCCACCTTCAAATAAATTCCTGCCCAGTCCGCTAATGGATTGAGGCCAGCATCACCAGTTGCCAGGAGACTCTGCCTGAGCGCAGCAAGGCAACAGGACTCAGGCTCAGGAATAATAGAATCGTAGAATTGGAAGTGTTGTAATCAAAATGTGCCCTTTTCCCCTTATGGGGTATCCAAGAGCCCATATAGAGTCCTTACGTGGGTTCCCTATTGGTAGGAGAAAATAACAGAGGCCAACCAGAGAATATTGAGAAGCAAAGCAGCTAGTAAGCTTGATCTTTATTGATCTGTTGCAACAGGGTGCTGCCCTCACACGTAGGAATAATAGAATCATAGAGTTGGAAGAGACCACAAGGGCCATCGAGTCCAACCCCCTGCCAAGCAGGAAACACCATCAGAGCACTCCTGACATATGGTTGTCAAGCCTCTGCTTAAAGACCTCCAAAGAAGGAGACTCCACCACACTCCTTGGCAGCAAATTCCACTGTCGAACAGCTCTCACTGTCAGGAAGTTCTTCCTAATGTTTAGGTGGAAGCTTCTTTCTTGTAGTTTGGATCCATTGCTCCGTGTCCGCTTCTCTGGAGCAGCAGAAAACAACCTTTCTCCCTCCTCTATGTGACATCCTTTTATATATTTGAACATGGCTATCATATCCCCCCTTAACCTCCTCTTCTCCAGGCTAAACATGCCCAGCTCCCTTAGCCATTCCTCATAAGGCATCGTTTCCAGGCCTTTGACCATTCTTGGTTGCCCTCCTCTGGACACGTTCCAGTTTGTCAGTGTCCTTCTTGAACTGTGGTGCCCAGAACTGGACACAGTACTCCAGGTGAGGTCTGACCAGAGCAGAATACAGTGGCACTGTTACTTCCCTTGATCTAGATGCTATACTCCTATTGATGCAGCCCAGAATTGCATTGGCTTTTTAAGCTGCCACGTCACACTGTTGGCTCATGTCAAGTTTGTGGTCAACCAAGACTCCTAGATCCTTTTCACATGTACTGCTCTCAAGGAGGAGGAGGACCCCGAACCAAGGTGTGCCTGCCCTTTTATAGACATTTTAAATTCCCTGCCCTGGAGCTCAAGACCACCCCTCCATACATCATACCTACATCACAGAAGGGGTGTAACCCAAGACCACTACCCCGGATACATCATACCTACATCACAGAAAAGGCAGTCTACAGCAGAAATCTGAGTGTGTTGTTTATCTCGTCTGACAGGTTACCTGTTTAATGGTCACTTGATTGGATTCCTTGAGGAGCCTGGCTAGTCTTTTGTAATGATAAATACTTAGTTCCTGAGCCAGGTCGCAGCCTCACACCCTATTCATATCTTAAATGTGCCCTTAAGACAGGGTTTGTGAATGAAGAGACAATGGGGAGGCTTTTCCATTTTCCTTTGACCTTGCAGAGGAAACATTTGGTCAGTTTGGGAATCAAAAGTGGTTTCAGGTTGGTCTTCCTGTGCTGATCTATGTACGTGCTTGGTTGGTACATTATGAACATTTAATATATATCTAAGACATTAAAATTCTTTTCACAGAAGGGACCCAACGGCCATCTAGTCCAACCCCCTGCAATGCTGTTTGCAATTCATAAAAGCGAAGGCATTGGGGCGGATGAAATCCCAAGGCCTGAGCTGGTCTCTCGCCCTAACCCCAAAGGCATGAGCATACTCTGCATGTGCCCAGTGGCACTCTCTCCCATCCAGCCGGAAGCACGAATCGGACTCCAAAGCTGGCATCTGATAATAGCAAGAACAGTTGGGCCTGGGAAATAAGGAGGAGGAGGTTTCTGCTGCCACCAGGCTGAAATCCAGGGCTGATGCAGCTGTTGGCTCTGATTCCACCTTGGTCAGGCCACGCCAAACTCAGAACTCAGCAGCCTTTTCATCAGGGTGCCAGGAGAGGGGAGATGATTCCTCTTGAGCTGGAGAGAGCAACTCCTTCTCTAGTTTCATATATTCAATATGCTCAAACTCTGTATCTTCAACTACCATCCCAGAGCTTGTGTTCCCCACCCCCGCTTCTCTCTGCCCCATTGGCAGTGGGGGGGGGGACACTGTAGAGAGGCGCTGAGGGGAGTTTCGCTTCCCCATGCCTGAGCACCTCTCAGCATTCAGGGAAACGGAAGAGGGAAGCTGGCCACTATCCAGGAGACTGAGGTCAGCAGAGAGCAAAGCAAAACCTACTCAAAGAGAAGCTGCTTCCCAGTCGCAGCAGAAATATATATATATATATATATATATATATATATATATATATATAATAATTTCCAGGTTTATACATTTCAATAATTTTTACGGTCATTTTAACATTTTGAAACGTGACTTCCTTCCCCCTCTTTCTGACGTTCCTTATATTTACCGTATTTTTCCATGTATAAGACAATGAATTTTTATTTTAAAATTATGTTTAAAAATAGGGGCACCTTACACACGGGGTGTGTTATACACAGAAAAATATTGTATTTTTATATTTTCTGCATATCCAAATTAACTTAATTTGGTCATTTATTTCATCTTCTTTCAATATATACTCTTATAAAACTGCAGGTTATTACAATAAAATCCTGCCAATGTTCTTATCTGTCTACAATTTGTTTGTAAATAATAAACCATTTCCTTTCTTTTATTAAAAAAGTTTTTTATCTTGATTTTTTATTTTTCTGGTAAGCTTCACCATTTCTGCATATTCCATAAGTTTTTGTGAGAGAGCCAGTGTGGTGTAGTGGTTAAGAGCAGTGGACACGTAATCTGAGGAATCTGGCCACGAGAGGGCGAGCTTTCCCTATACGTATATTTTTCGGAAAAAGGTAAAAGGCGGATCTACACGGATCCTCATGAATTCATATGATTTTTTCATTCAAATTAAATAAAACCACCATGATACTGTAGACCATGTCTTACTCTGTAGGCAGCATCAAAAAAATCACGCATCCACTGTTTCGGGGGCCGCAGGGGCGCAAAAACATGGTTAAAAACACGGATCCTCATGGATCCTCATGATTTTTGCACTAGATCAGCCCAAAGTCACCATCAGATCAAACATCATCGCCATGGGCACAGAATCCACCACAAAATCACGGATCCACGGCTTCGTGGGGAAACCGTGGCCCAAAACGTGGTTTTGAAGCACGGATCCTCATGGATCCTCATGCTTTTTGCATTGGGCCACCCCTAAATCACTGTCAAATCACACATCATAGCCAGGGGCACAGCCTACACCAAAAAACTCGGATCCACGCCTGCCTGGCCATACCGTGGCCCAAAACGTGGTTCTGAAGCATGGATCCTCATGGATCCTCATGATTTTTGCACTAGATCAGCCCAAAGTCACCATCAGATCAAACATCATCGCCATGGGCACAGCCTACACCAAAAAAAACTCGGATCCACGCCTGCCTGGCCATACCGTGGCCCAAAAACGTGGTTCTGAAGCATGGATCCTCATGGATCCTCATGATTTTGCACTA